TTTGCAGTGTCACTATAATAATATTTTTTGTTTACTTTTGGATTAATCGCATTTAGAGGTGATTTGAGGTGTTCTAAAAAAAAGATTTTTGGACTAAACAAGTCAAAATTTCAAAAATTCAAAAAGTCTATTTGTCATTTCTAAAAAAATTATCACTTTTTTTTTTTTGAAAGAAAAAAAATTATCACTTACAAAATAACAAAAGTCACTGAACTTCCCTAATACATGAACTTTTTTAGATTTTACAGAAGCCAAATGCTCAACAATACTCTAGGACAATATTTAAATTAATACAAAAATTGTCTTAAAAATAGTTAAAAATATTAAAAAAGTGTATTGAATTTAGTAAAAAAAATGATCTTGTATTTTTTTAATTTTTTTATCTTTTTTTTTGGGGGGGGGGGGGGAGGGTTCTTGGATCACTAGTTAGCAAGATCTTTTGTAATATATATATATATATATATATATTCGTATATTTGAGACCCAAAAAAAGCTCCCACAATGATTTAGTATTAATTTTTAATTTGTTATACACCTAATGATATAATATCCAACTCTTTTCATATATCATTTGTGGATGAATTTGTGGGTCTCTAACATTTTTCTTATAAAAAGTCTTTACAAAAAAAAGACAAAAAATTACTAGAAAAATAAATTTCAAAAGACTTTAGTATTTATGTATTTTTTATCAAAATATTATTTTAGTGCTTTCACTTTTAATTGTGACACTTAACCCATTATACTTTAAGTCAATTCCAATGTCACATTTCTATTCATCTCTGTTCACGAGGTTGACGAGAATTATTTTGGAAAGTAAGTTAAAAATTGGTATTTTAATTTTTTTTTGACCTTTTTTGAAAAATGTGTAAAAAAATAAAGAGATGATGTGATTCAAAAAACAAAAAAATTGACTTTTAATTAACTTCCCAAAATAGGCCATAAAGTACAAAAATTAAAGTGACATTTTAGTAAAAATATAGTAGTGTTAACAAAAAAGGGTTGGTTGAGCGTAAAAATAAGATCTAAGGTCTTAGTTCAAGTCACCCTAAGGGGCTATTGAAGATTTTTTTGATCGTTAACTTTAGGACCCTGACATTATTTAAAGTATGTGCGAGTTGACTCAAACACTTATCAAAAACATAATAGGGAAGAAAAAATATCACATACACATAACAAGTTTCATTAGTTTTATTAACATTTGATGGATGGAAACTTGACTGAAATTATTAGAAATTAATTGTTACAATTGAAAATAGAGAGGTCAAAAGTGAAATTTTTAATGAAAATAAAAGGATGTTAAACATGAATAATTTTTTTTTATTTATATATTACAATGTACATATATTAAAAAATTAATTGTGTAAAGAAAACTACAATATATAATATACAATACAATTACATATGAATTTTTAAAATAAAAATAAAACTTAAATAAATAAATAAGTAAAACAAGAACATTTAAACTCCTATGTTTGGTTTGATTTCATTTTTTTAAAAAAAATACTCAAAAAAACTAAAAGCTAGTTTGGTAAAATAATTTAAAAAATAAAAAAAAATACTCATCATTTTATATAATTTTATCCTTTTAGGGATGGAAATAGTTTTTGTAAATTAATAAATATTTTTACTATTTATTTTTGACAAATTAGTTTTATTTTTGCATAAAAATTTCCAAAAACACAAATTCTAAAAATCAAACTAAACATATTAGTTATTTTTAGCCTTTTTTTTAAAAAAAATTGAGTCAAATTATGTTTATTTTTATGTTCGTATAGGCTATATAATATTTTTTTTTATTCTTTTTATTTTAATGGAAGAAGATCACTAAATACAAAAAAAAAAGAAAAAGAAAAGAATTTATAAACTGGTGTCAAAACAAGCCTTAATAACATGAAGGGACTAGCTCTGTAATTCAAAACAATAATTAGTCAAATTTGATACCAAATTTACAATAAAAAATTTTATGGGTAAATTATACTAATCTCCTCCATTAAGGTTTGGAAAAAGTAACTTCCATATTTTTGGCAAATTATTAACTTTATTTTTTGTTTTTTTTAAGTTGTAATTCGCATAATATTGGGGTTCATTTGGAATGTGGCTTTTTAATTATTTTTTTTTAAAACTTTTTAACTACAATCTGAGGTGCAAAAAATTGAAGAAGTGTTTAGAAATTATTTTTAAATTTTTTATAAAAAAAAGTGTTAAGAAATAGAGAGATTTAAAAAAAAAAAAAATTATATTTTGACTTTTTAATTTTTTTAAGTGACATTTTAACTTTTAAATTAAATTAGTCTATTGCCAAACAGAGTCTTAATTTTATACTGATATATTTTTTTAGTTTTCTGTATATTTTTACAATATTAGTATCATCATGTTTGTTTCTAGTTTCTTAAAAACACTTTTCAGAAAAGTCTACTTTCTTATTTTCTGTATTCTTTTATTTTTACTAATTTTTAAAAATATTTTAAGCAATTTTTTTTAGTTTTCAGACACACCTAACATAAATACACTTAAAATGTATAATTTTCATGAAAAAATATTTAAAAAAATTCACTAAATACCAAAAGTATAAAAAAATTATGAAAATTCAGTATATTTTTGTTTATTTATTAATTTTTTAAAAATATTTTTTCACAAATATTTTTCTCTTTAGATATATCTAAGTAAGATGTATATAAAAAAGTAAAAAAAAAAGCTTAAAATTTTAAAAATATTCACTAAAAACAAAAAAAATATGAAAAATAAAAACTTAATTTTTAAAAAACTGAAACAAAATACACTGATTATTTTTTGTTCTCTTTATTTTTTTTATAAATTCATATAATTATGTCAAATCAATAAGATTACCCAATTAATTAATTAATTTTGAAATTTCCAACCAATCATTAAAGGGGTCACTATTCTCAATTCACTTTACTCCAAATACACTCTTTTGTTTGTCCCATTACTCAAAATTTACTAATACTGTTACAATTTTTATTTTTTCAAATTATGTATTTTGTGTGAAAGAATATTAATATAACTATATATAATTAGTGATACAATATGTACCAATTGGAATACCCATTAGTATACTAACATATGTTGTGACATTATTACCGATCCTACCTATTATACAAATTACAAATATTCAAAACTTCTAAAATTATGTCACATCACCTGTTAATACACTAATTGGTATACCAATTGATGCATAACATTATTCATATATAATAAAGGACAAAGAAAAAAGTGAATTTAAAATGAATAATGTTATATGTAGTAATTAATATACTAATTAGTGTATTAATAAATAACATGACATAATTTTAGAGATTTTGGGTATTTATAATTTGTAAAATAAGTAGAGTCAATAATAATATCATAATACATATTGATATACTAATTAATATACTAAATGGTATATGTAGCAGTATTAAAAACAAAATAGAGCAAGAATAACGGTTTCCTAATTAAAACTCAAAGAGCTATTTTAGCAGCACGGTTAAATTAATTTTTGGACTTTTATTTTTTTAAATCACACTGCTTTATTATTTTTACATTTTAAAAAAATAATTAAAAAAACTAAAAAATAAACTTTTAATCCAAAACAGGGAAAAGCCATATAATTAATATCATGATAAATTACAAATACACCTTCTGAGATTTGATTAAAATGTGAATTGCCTCATGTGGTTTGAAAAATTACAAATATTTCATTGTCAGAATTTTTTATTTAACAAAATTAATTGAAAAACTAAAATTTCTAACTATTCACTTATACAATAATTAAATTATCTGATTTATTAATTAAAATAAAATTTTAACATTATTTAAAACTGTTAATTAACTTGATAATTTATTAATAAAATGATTTATTTGTTATGAAATTAAAAGTCTTAGAAACATAATATAATTTTTAAAATCACAAAAAATAATTATAATTTAACTAAATCTTAAAAAGTGTATTTATAATTTACTTTAGGATAAATTACAAATACACCCCTGAAGTTTGATTAAAATACGAATCATCTCCTGTGATTTAGAAAATTACATCCTACCCCTTAAAGTTTCTAATTTCATAACAAATTGTCTATTTTATTAATAAATTATCAAGTCAATTAATAATTTTTAATGATGTTAAAAATATGTTTTAATTAATAATTTAAGTAATTTTATTATTGTAAAAGAGAATAATTATGATTTTATTTTTTTAATTAATTTTACTCAATAAAAATTCTTAATAAAAAAATATTTATAATTTTTTAAATCATAAAAAATAATTTATATTTTAATCACAGATGTAAACCCTTTACTTTAATATCAAATTTTGAGATCATGTGCCCCGTAAACCAACGTACTCGATATGTATATATATATACGTATTATATATTTTGTTTTTCTTCACTGTGTTGCTTTACCAGCTGTTGAAGCGTCACTCACACTTCTAGAGAGAGAAGGGAAGGGAAGAGAAGAGAGGAGAGAGAGAAGACAAATAAAAATCCTGGAAATCTGTGCTAATGTGCGCAGATCCGTTATACTCTCTCACCTGCTACATTGAGCGTATTTTAGCCCAGCCCACAAACCCTAAAAACTCCATCTTCTCTCTCTCTCCAGTGGTTGTTGTTGCTGTTGGGGTCCCTTTGTTGTTGTAATTGTTCCTGCTACGTTTGGATTATACTCTCTCACCTAACTTCTCTCTCCTCCTCCTCCTCTCTCTCTCTCTCTCTCATCCGTTACATTTGTATTTTGTTTTCACACAGCAGATCCGTATTTTTTTGGATATTTTGTTTTTTGGGTATTTTTTTTTTTTGGTTTTTGGGTTGGGTGGTGATGTTTTTGTTTTTGTTTTGAGAAAGTAAAAGCAAAAGCAAATTGCGGGTTGGTAAGTTGGTGGGTTAATTGAGGAGAGTGTTTGTGGCTTATGAGCTCTAGCTTCAGATCTGGGTTGATATAAGAGATGGAGACATTATTCAAATGTAGCTAGCTTATTATTGTTGATCACACAGCAGATCCGTATTTTTTTTGGATATTTTGTTTTTTGGGTATTTTTTTTTTTTTGGTTTTTGGGTTGGGTGGTGTTGTTTTTGTTTTTGTTTTGAGAAAGTAAAAGCAAAAGCAAATTGTGGGTTGGTAAGTTGGTGGGTTAATGGAGGAGAGTGTTTGTGGGTTATGAGCTCTAGCTTCAGATCTGGGTTGATATAAGAGATTGAGACATTATTCAAATGTAGCTAGCTTATTATTGTTGATTAATAGTCACTTTTATTTTTACTTCAAAGCCCTTTACTTCAAACCCACTTTCTCTTTCTCTGTCTGTCTCACACACACATACACACTCAATTAGTACTTTTTCTCTCTTTCTTGTTCTTTGGGGCTTGTTTCCTCTGTTTCTTTGGGTGCCACTGGCAAAAGGTCTTAAAGGGTCAACTGTTCTTGTGAGGATTTAGAGAGAGAGAGAAGAAGAGTGAGACTAGAAAGTTAAGCTAGAAAGAGAGAGAAAGTAGAGAGATCCGTAGTAATGTTGGCGATGGGGAGTCCTACCAGTGTCCGCACGAGTACTAGTTGCAATGCTTTACTTAGAGAACTCCAGGTCTTTCCTCCTTTCTTTCTTTCTTTCTTTCTTTCTTTTTTGCTACACTTTTTTCTTGGGTTTTGTTTTATGATTCTTTTCAAAGACCGGAGTGTTTTCTACTATCTTGTATGTAAAAATTGGGGTTTTTAATGGTCTTCGTTTTGAATGTTATTGGTTAATATTTTGTCAGCTCTGAAGAGAATTGATGTTTGTTTCCAAGAATTATAGTGTTTTTATTTTTTTAATTTTATAATTTGTATTACAGTGAAATGAATTATGCTTGGTGGTGGGTCGAATTGAAGTGGATAGCTTTGATTTTGATTGCTATTTTACATATTTGTTTCTTTTTAAGGGGTTTGAAGAGGCAATTGTACTTTAGTTTGGTGTTATGGGGTTCTTTCTTTAATGCGAATTTTATTATACATTTTTTTATAATAAAAAAAGAGCTTAGTTTGTAGTAGGTGTTCATTCATTAAAAAAAAAAAAATTAAATTAAATTAAGTTTAAAAGCTCTTGGTATGAATGCTTTGTTGAGTCTGGTTGAGTTGCGTTTAGTATCATGGGCTTTTTAGATAATTGGAGCTTAATGTTGTTAATGGGATTGTCTAATTTTGTTGAATTGTAAAAATTGTTAAGTTTTTATTTCTAAAAAAGGGTAATGCCTGTTGGTGAGGATTTCAATTAAGTTGTTTCTTGTTTTGTTGATGTTGCAGGAAATTTTTTGTTCAATTTTCTTACTTTATTTTTTTTTTTCTTTGGGGGGATGGAGTCAAATTTAAGTTGTTTCTTTAAATTTTCCTACTTTAACAACAAAATTGTTCTTTGCCCATCTATCATACTGTTCCTATTTTGATGTTGTTATTATGACAAGAGCAGCAAATATGGAATGACATTGGCGAGAGTGAAGTCGATAAAGACCGTATGTTGTTGGAGCTGGAGAGAGAGTGCTTACAAGTTTATCGAAGAAAGGTCGACGAAGCTGTCAATGCCAAAGCACGTCTCCATCAATCTGTCGCGGCAAAGGAAGCCGAGCTTGCAACCCTTATGGCTGCTCTTGGTGAACTTAACGTTCATTCACCGGTAAAATCTCCTTTAGGAACTGCAATCATTTTGTCATGTTTTTACCTTTACTTTCTGCTTCCCAATCTGAAAATAAGTTAGTTGGTGTGGTTCAGTAATTTCAAATATTTTATTGTGGTATGATGTCAATTATCTTTCAACTTTAAGTACTTTTCAGGTTATGCACATGCAGTTGGAATGATTTTTTATAATTTATGCTATTGGAATGTATACGAATCATTCACATTGATAAAAGCAATGAGTTTTATAAAGTGCTATAATTGCAAGATCTTAACCTTTTGTCCTAATTTGGAAATTATTCTAAAGGGAAACATGTTTCTCTGTATTGAGGAAATAAAGGCAGGGTTTATGTTTACCACTTAGGTGTTTTTAGTAAGCATTTTATTTACAATTGAGGTTCTCATTCCTTGATTCATGGGGTTTTCACCATGAATAAACTAGATTTGCTGTTGGTCACTTGATTGTTGTGTCTCATCTATCATTCATTGTTGTTTTCTTTTTCAAACTTGCATAACTATTATGGACATGTATTTTAAACGTATGCCTGGGGGTTTACGAGGGGTTGTTGTTTGGGTATAGAGTTGTAGACCTACACTTTGGCATTGTTTGCATAACTGTTATGAACATGTAATTTAAATGTATGCTCGGGAGCTTATGAGGTGTTGTTTGGATATAGAATCGTAGACCTACCCTTTGGCATTGTTTGCATTTTGTAGTTTGCACAAAAGTGGCTGCCTCACAGTTAATCAAGAATTTTGTGATTAAATTATACGCAATCTAAGAAGTATGGATATGGACACATAACATGACAACACAAACACAGACACAAGAAGTTTTCAAAATATGTAGGACACACACGTGGGGGACATATGCAAAATATATAATTTTATATTTTTATTGTGTTATATATTAAAAAAAAAAAAAAAATCTCAATTAGTATATATTAATGTGTGTTTGGGAGGGAAAAGACCATTGGTTCAATGGTAAAACCTTGGCGTAATAATCTTGAAGTTATGGGTTCAAGTTACGAGTAATCACTTTGTGTACTATTATAAGTCATATATATATGAGAATATTTAGGTCAAAGATAATAAGTTTTGAAATCTAAAGAAAGAGAATAGGTATAAATTTACATTAATATATATGAGAATATTTAGGTCAAAGACAATAATTTTGAAGTCTAAAAAAAGAGAATAGGAATAAATTTACATTGTTTTTATTTAATCATTGGATTCTAAGAGTTTATTCAAACTTGTAATGTGTTTTTAAGTGTTAGGAAGTGTCCGACAAGTGCCGTGTCATGTTGGTGCCAAACACGGTGTTAGACGCGACATGTTGCCTTCTTTGAAGCGTCCGTTCTTCTTAGTCCGCAATGGGGTGATGCTTAGGAGTGACTGATAATGCTCACCCTGTATGCATCTCCAGAGAATTTGCTACCCAAAATGGCTATTGATCACATCTGAATTTTATGCAATTTTTTTGATCTTAAAGATTTATTAACAGGAGGCACTAAGTAGACCAGCCAAATACATGAAGTCATGTATACTAAACAAATTACAACAATAATTAGGTGAGAAGCTTGTTATGAAACAATTTAGCAACAACCAGCTGGATTGCATCATGTGATAAATTTTTATATGAAAAATTTGAAATCTTTACGTGTTGGGTCATTGCACTCGGTTGCCTTTTAATTCGTTATTTTCAAATTTCTGGTAACGAGGTTATTTACCAATCAGTGTCTAATCATTTGTTTTTTGAAATCTTGCTGTGCAATAGATGATTGTTTATATGGCAGGTTTGAGTTATAAATTTGAGCTTTTGATTGTCAATAGGGAAGTGCAACACCCCATTGGTGCAAACCCCAACATTGATTGCCTTTTTATTTTATTGTAACATATTATTGATTTCCGTTTATACTCTCTCTCTCTCTCTCTCAATGGTACTTTAAATTTTGGCCACAAATTCTAGCTTTGGTTCAGATTGTCCTCTAGTTTGGTCTTGCTTATGGTCACTCTTACTTGTATGTTTTCTCATCTTTTTCTAATAGCCCTTAAATTTATTTATTTTTTGTTCCAAATTATTTTTGTCAGCCAAATAATGTAGTTTTTCACTTGTTAACTGATATTTAATGTGAAATTAACAGATCCAGACAGAGAAGAAAGCGTCATCATTAAAACAGCAACTTGCATTGGTCATACCATTAGTGGAAGACTTACAATTAAAGAAAGAGGAACGGATTAAGCAATTTGTGGAAATAAAGGCACAAATTGATAAGATCACTGTAGAGATTTCGGAATACAATCATCTCAGCAATGTGAGTTCCTTTAATCTGGAAGAACAAGACTTATCACTGAGAAAGCTTACTGAATACCAAACACAACTGCGAACTCTTCAAAAGGAGAAGGTATGCGTGGTTTCTGCCTTTTCAGTTGATATCTCGATTCGTATGCTTTCATGTCACTTTTAATTAATTGTATATAGCGAGGTATACTTTGTTGTTTGTGCTTGTGACCTTTTTTTCTTGGTGAATGGTGACTGCTTGCCTTAAGATGTACATATACCTGAGACCTTATGAGTGAAGGGGTTGGTTTTAACTCTCAAGTCATTTCAATTTATTGTGTTGTAAAATGCAATTGATCCAATTTCTGGAAGTTAAGAATCATTTAAGTGTAATAATTATATACTTTGGACTAAAGTTGTGAGCCATTTGCGGGTGAGGATGAACATTGAGTTTATAAATTTACCATAAAAAAAAAGAGAATAAAAAAGAAAAGAAAATTTGTGAGCATTTTGCATTATTTGCATTTCTATCTTTTTTGCAGTCCGAACGGCTTCATAAAGTTTTGGAGTATGTGAATGAGGTGCATTCCTTATGTGGTGTGCTTGGGTTGGATTTTGGCAAGACCGTGGGTGATGTGCATCCTAGCTTGCATGGAACAACCGTCGAACAGTCTACAAACATCAGTGATAGTACTTTGGAGGGTTTAGATCAGACCATCCTTAAGTTGAAAACAGAAAGAAAAGTTCGATATCAGAAGGTAGTGAGGACCCTTGTGATTTATTTATTTATTTTTATCGAGTGTTATTTGAAGTGACCCATGTCCTGAAACACAGCTGAAAGATATTGTTGCATCATTATCTGAACTTTGGAATCTGATGGACTCAACAAAAGAAGAGAAGAGTAACTTTTCAAGGATTACTTTGATGCTTGGATCCTCAGAATTGGAAATTCTGGAACCAGGTGCTCTTTCAACAGAGAATATTGAACAGGTTTGAAAGAACGCTAACATTGTCTTTTTTTATTGTTTTTTTTTTGAGTTACTTAAAAAAGTGAATTTATAAATATTCATTTCGTTCTGACAGGCATCAGCAGAAGTGGAGAGGCTCACTAAACTGAAAGCAAGCAGAATGAAAGAATTGGTAATGAAAAGGAGGTCGGAGTTGGAAGATTTGTGCCGTAAGACCCACATTGAACCTGATCCAAGCACTGCTCCTGAGAAATCGAATGCTTTGATAGATTCTGGTTTGACATTTTGTCTTCACGTTGTAATCTGCCAACTTTTAACATTGTCAAATCTGTTCTTTAGAGTAATGGGTTTAAATTTTTTCTGTTGCTTAGGTCTTGTGGATCCTTGTGAACTTCTGGCAAATATTGAAGCCCAAATAAGCAAAACGAAAGATGAAGGTCTGAGCCGAAAAGAAATCATGGATAGGATAGAAAGATGGCTTTCTGCGTGTGAAGAGGAAAATTGGCTTGAAGAGTATAGTCAAGTAAGCTAGAAATTTTGGTCAAGTTTGGCTACAAAGAAAAAAGTGCACTTATTTCATCTTTTTATCTTTTTTGGGTCACATCAATCAACATCTCCTCTCTACTTTTTCTACACATAATACAAAAAAAGTCAAAAAGTGCACTTATTTAGTCTTCCCAAACTAGGCTTGTCTTTTATTTTTTGCAGATATATATATATATATATATATATTTCAATATATCAGATTTTATAATTTAACATGGCTTCCAGATGCGGCTTATGTGATTAGATCTTAATTTTTAGTTGACACATCACTAGTGATAACTTCTTGTCCTGTTCTAAGAGGTCATACTGATTTTCAGGATCATAATCGGTACAGTGCTGGAAGAGGTGCTCACATAAACCTAAAACGTGCAGAACGAGCTCGAATTGCTGTAAATAAGATTCCAGGTATTGTTTACCGAGCTCTATTAATTATGTTGTGTTCTGCTTGAGCTGGCATCATTCTTTGGAGCTAACAGGCTACTTTTGTCAGCAATTGTTGACAATTTGATAAATAAGACACTAGCATGGGAAGATGAGAAAAAGAAATTATTTCTTTATGATGGGGTGAGTTTTTCTATACCATAAGATTTCTCGATCATAATCTTTTCTTTTATGGGTTGTCCTTGAAGTAACGCTGTCTCAGCATATTTTTAGGTTCGTTTGGTTTCGATACTAGAGGATTACAAACTAGCCAGACAACAGAAGGAAGAGGAGAAGAGGCGATACAAGGTAACTTTAATTTGTGTTTTTATAATGCCGCATTCTTAAACATGTAAAATGGGAAAAAAAAATAGTTTGAAGCAAAGTTCTTGTATGTTTGATACTGAAATTGGTTATCTAAATGCTAAAATGATAGTGTATGTGTGTGCGCACGCTCGTATGTGTATGTTCTTTTTCCTTTTTCACTGAAATATGGTCTTATTTCACTCATGAGTGAGACCAAAAAAAAATGTAGAAAACATATATTGTATAATTTAGAGGCAATTTATATATATTATAAAACTATACTGGTCTTTGCTCAGGACCAAAAGAAGCTCCAAGATCTGCTGCTCACAGAAAAAGAAGCCATGTATGGGTCCAAACCTAGTCCAAGAAGAAGCACTAGCTCTAGAAAGGTGAATGGGTATCGTTCAAATGGTAATGGATCCATGACTCCCACACCTCGCCGGAACTCGGTTGGTAGTCCAACTGCAGAGCTTCTAACACCACGTTCGTATTCTGGGCGCCAAAATGGGTATTTTAAGGAAATGAGAAGGCTGTCTACTGCACCACTGAACTTTGTGGCCATAGCAAAAGAAGATACTATGTCATTTTCATCTGTTTGTGGTTCTGAGCCGGAGTCTCCTCCTCAAGGTCGAAGTTAAAACTTGAACGGTATGTTCCCTTACTTTACCTGCGTCCTCTTTCGAGGCATTGGCTAAGAAACTAACAAATTCTTTGGAATTTGGACATTATGCAAATTATTGAGTTCTTCAAAATGGTTCCTTTCATGCAGCAAATTAACTGATTTAAATGCACCAAATACATTTATTTGGTTGAGTTTTCAAAATTTGTTCTGTTTTTGTCAAAAAGGAAAAACTATAAGCTAGTTTGGTAAAAGAATAGGAAAAAAAAGTCATTTTCGTATGGTTTCTCTCTTTTTTTGGGGAAAAATAAAATTTGAAATTTTGAAAATATTTTTGATATTTATTTTCATCAACTAGATTCTATTTTTCGGAGAGAGAAAAACAAAAAAACTAGATTTTGAAAATCAACCAAACGGTCTCTCCCTGTGGGTATTCTTTTGGATGGTTCAGCATGGGAGATTAACAATAATGTAATATAATGGTTTCCTACTTGGGTAGAAGTTTCCTATGATACTCAATCCACTAAGGCCATGTTTGTTTGGACGGATTGGATTAGTATTGGATTGTTAGTCATAGGATTATCAATCCCTTTGGATTTTGCATCCAATCCCATGTTTGGATTGGTCTAGGATTATGAAGAAGAATTGACAAATCTTATAAAATTTGTAATTTAGCCAGTTAGTCCAAACCTCTCCTTAGTTCCCCATTTTTGTATACCATACCCCTCTTGGGATTTTAATAGCCCTCTTGGGATTTTAATAGTCCCCCATATGAGAAATACCATGTCTAGGTGGAGTATTTTCCGTACCCCAATTTTCTTAGTAGGATTATGTAATTTGTTGGATTATTATTAATCCAATCCCAAAATCATGTCTGCTCAAATAAACATGGCCTAAGAAAATTTATCAGGAATGAATCAGTAGGTGATTTTGTCTCTGATATCCAGAATCAGGGATGTAGGTCAACCTGAGTCCCGGGTACATTGTGTCAAGTACTTTTTAATTATGAAAAAGAGTGGAACCACTATATGAAGGGCACCTAACTTATTGAAACATTTCTTGAACCAAATTTCCTGATATTTGGTATTGTGATGCAATGTTCCACTATTTTGTTTTTCAGAAAGGGCAATGTTCCACTATTGAAACTTGTATTTTGATTGTCTCGTGCAGGAACCAGCAAACCTTTTAGTGTTTCAGTGCTGTATGCTGGATTGGGGCAATGGAAACATTGTGAATATAGAAAGGGAGTGTACACTAGTGTATGATTGTGATATGTTAGAAGTACTTTTGAACAAAGGTAAAAACTAACATTTGAGGACATGTGTTTAAGTAGGCAATCGACTTCAAGAATATCAGCGCCGATTTACCAGTAACCTAGAAGTCTTGTCTGTTGAAAACTAGGGCCTACTGATGACCATTTGTATCGTGGATGTCGTTTGTGTTTTTATTCTGCATGTGTATATATACTACTTTCAGTTTGTTGGATTTGATTTTCGTGTAGCAAACTTTCTTTAATTTTTGTATTGCAGCTTGTAGGATCTTTAAAAGCCGACGCCCAAAATAAAGATGCATCTCATTTGGGTAGTTAATAATTGGCGTAATTGTGTTGATACTAGTATCTTTGTCTTGTCACCCTTTGTTCCCTTGCAGTTGCCGTGAAGAGTGGATTCTTTGGTAGCCTTAAAATTATTCTTAGGCAATGTTGGATGTTTTTTTTAGATCTAAGCTGTGATCATTGTAAAATTTCAATTTTTTCTTTGATTTTTTGTTTTCCATACATGTAATTTTTGCCTTGTATGGTTGTTTGGAGTTCTTTTACGCGATAGAGAGAATTCATTATTCTCGTCTCTAACTTATGATTTCTGATGTTTGATATGAGATTCATGGGGAATGGCAAATTCACTATCCCCTGAGGCCATTCTAGGGTTTTGCCCTGATAATTACCATGTAGTTATAATGGGAACATAGAATTCAATGAAAGCTTTATGACAAGGGGTTATTATAGTTAAATCGATAATTTGCAAACTATTTACTAGCGCGTCTATTAAATGAAGAGGAAAAAAAAAGAAACAGATAATTACTAGCGTGTCTTATGTATTGAATTTATTTATTCGTGAGTCCTAAGAGCATCTCTAACGGTGTATTTTTTTTTTCATCAAATCTGAGTAAAAAATGATTCATTTTATCAAATCTGATATCACTCGCTCCAACGGTGAACTTTCATCAAATTTGTGCCGGGTCGACCGCTTGACCGAATTTTTTTTTTTTTTTTTTTTAAACTTTTGAACCTTTTAGTGGTCGACCGGTTGGTCGACCGATAAGGTAAATTTTTTTTTTTTAAAACTATTTGAACCTTTTCTTGGAACTGTTTGAACCTTTTGGTGGTCGACCGGTTGGTCAACTGGCCGGGCAACCGGCTGGTTGACCGGTTGGTCTCCCCCAACGGTCACAAACAGTGTTTTGATGAAATCAGTATTCTGTCCTCAATTTGATGAATTATTTGGTGAAATCTTATTTTGATATCGATTTGGTGCAACCGTTGGAGCACCAAACAGTAACGTTTTCACTAAATTTTAAATTTGATGTCAACTTTGATGAACCGTTGGAGATGGTCTAAGTGATTTGTTTTTCTGTCCTTTATTTCTTGTTTTGATAGTGAGAATTTTAGAACTTTTTAAGGTGTCGTTTGATAACACTTACGTTTTCAGTTTTCTGTTTATATTTATAAAAATTTTAAAAACTCAAATAAAAATTTGTTTGGTAAAATTTTTGATTTATAAATCAGTGGTCTTAGCTTATAAATTTGGCTAAAAAATGAAAATACAAAAAATGTGTTTTCGTTTTGAGTTTTGAGTTTTTTTTTGTTACCACCCAACACTAGCCACTACCTGCCACCATTTTCCACCACCGTCTTCCGCCACCACCACCCACTACCCACCTTCCACCATCACTTGCCACCATTACTCACCATCCACCTGCCACCACCACCCATCACTTGCCCCCTGCCACTACCACCGTCTTCCGTCACCACCACCCACCCACCCGCCACTTTCCACCACCGTCTTCTGCCACCATCACCCACCACCTGCCACCATTTTCTACCACCGTCTTCCGCCAC